ATCAGGTAGAGTCTCTAACATCTATAAATTCTTTTTTTTTTTAAAGATTTTATTCATTTATTTGAGAGAGAGAGAGAGAGAGCATGAATGGGGGGAGAGGCAGAGGGAGAGGGAGAAGCAGACTCCCCTTTGAGCAGGGACCCAATGCGGATGGAGCTCAATCCCAGGATCCTGAGACCATGACCCAAGCCAAAGGCAGACGCTTCACTGCTGAACCACCCAGGCGCTCCTCAATTCTTAAAAAAAAAAAAAAAAAATCTATTTTCTATTTTTCATGGAGTGCCAGCAGGACTGGTATACCAATATTTTGATGTCTCTGATCCCACATTTACCCTTTACCTGTTTTAGAACTTCCACCATATCCCATATTGTTAAAGATAAGGAATCTTCATTTTTATTTTTTTTTTATTTTTTTAAAGATTTTATTTATTTAATTGACAGAGAGAGAGACAGCGAGAGAGGGAACACAAGCAGGGGGAGTGAGAGAAGGAGAAGCAGGCTTCCCGCTGAGCAGGGAGCCCGATGCGGGGCTCGATCCCAGGACCCTGGGATCACGACCTGAGCCAAAGGCAGTCGCTTAACCAACTGAGCCACCCAGGCGCCCCATAAGGAATCTTCATTTTTAAAAGGCTGCAGTTCAGCAGGAAGGTTTGATTCCCACTGAGAGGAAACGAAGAGTGAACGAGGGACCATCATCCGGTCTGAAAGAAGGAAAATGAGCACGTGAGATCAGTAAGCCAGAAGACAGGAAGTGGTGGGCTGCAGCAAGGGATGGAATGTGTCAGACACAGACCCGAAGGTCAAAATCCAGGCCATCTAGTTACCTTGGGAGTAAGAGGGAAGGAATAGAGGGAGAGAAAGGCCGCCAGAGTGGGAGAGTTGTTGAGGGCTGGGACCCCTCCCTACTCTGTTCCCATAACCTCATTCATTCCCTCAACCCTCCTTCCCAATCCCTCTCCGGTGGCTCTGCTCCTTCAGTTCTGACCCCATTTCCTCAGGATCTCGTTCCCTGAGGAGCTGGGCCTGACATTTCAGACAGAGGCTGAGGAAAGGAGGTAGGTCAGAAAGAGACACTGTGTGTCTACGTCATCTTATTTTCTGTTTTGTTATTTTGGAACCTGAGGGCCAAAGACGTGAGCACTCGGACATTTACCTGGAAGTGCAGAGACAGTCCCCCAGGTACCAAGGAATATCAAGAGCTCTCTGTTCTCTGAACAATTGCTATTGAGGGTCAGGTTTGGGAGGGTAAGAATGGTGATCTGGAATTCCCATGCTTTTTGGTAATTGTGGCAAAAACGCATAGGGTGGAGGGTCAAGGTGCCCTGGAAATAGGGCCGGACATCACCTTCAGAACTAGAAGGCTCTTCTTAGCTATGAGGACCCCAGCCTTCTCCTAATTCAGTAGCCAATAGGATAAGACGTCCCTGTTGAGCCTCTGATCTGCCAGAATTCCCTACAGCCTTTGTCCGTGGTACTCCCTCAGACTCCTGCAAAGTATTGACACACTTTGTGTATGTACTCTTCCACTTTTGCTGTTTCTGAGTGCCTGCCTCTGACCCAAACTCCCTGAAGGCAGGAACCACTTCATGTCTCAATCAGAATAGCATCTAGCCCGGTACCATTTCTGCATAGAGGCTTCAAGGCCCCCTGGGCTATGAATTCCAGGGTAGGGAGCATGTCTGTGAACATTAGTGTCATTCCTTAGTGCCTAGCTCTCTGTCCAGTACATAGTGGTCATCTGAATAAATTTGTGCTGAATGAATTAATTAATGACAATCATGGTGATAAGGATGACAGGGGGAACAGTAACAAAGGTTTTTGTTTGTTTGTTTTTTGTTTTGCAAGCTACAAGATGCTTCGTAAGGCAAGCCATCTTCCTTAGCCGCACACAGCCTCCCCAAAGCCGTGGTTTTCTTTCAGTGGAGGAAAAAGACAAGAGTTTATCTTCAGATGAGGCCTTTATTCCCACCATCAAGCCCGTGCCAGAAGCTATCGGTGATAGAGAAGGGAATAAGAGACAGCTGCTTGGGCATGATACCTGTGTAAGAAGAAGACAGGGATCTCCTGTGCATGCTTGCCTTCTCACTCCTCCAGCTAGGTCAACGCGAGTGTCTCCTGCCAGCAACTTATCAGGAAGGACCATGACTCTCTGGACTCAGAAGATCCAATTCTTCAGCTGTGCCACCTCCACTGGCTCTTCTTCCCCTGTCCAGGTCCTCAATTCCTGGTACCTTGGCTTTAGAACAAAATTTAAACACCATGTCCTTGAGGCTACCCACATTACCCTTCTCTCCAAGGGAAGAATACAGCTGTCTAATTCTGTGCCATTTTATCTTCAGAACCACTCTGTGAGGTTAATGGAGGTGACTCTTGCATAGAGAAAGGAAGCCACCTGCCCAAAGTATTTCAAGATTCCTCATTCCACGGCTTTTACCTCTAACACACACTGTATGGCTTAACCAATAACAATTACCCATCATCTCCTAAGAATGCCTGAGAATTTACATGTTGAGGGGTCCTAAAATGGAATATGTTGTCAGGCAAGAACAGATTTCAAGAGATCAACTAGCCATCCTTTGGCTCTTAGGTAGGCCAATTGTCTAGAAGTTGAGTGTTGGTTGGGAAAGTCCTTGAATTTGGAGTCCAAAGACCTCAGATGTAAGTCCTAGGTCTGCCATTTACTGAGTGGATGATTTGGAGCAAGTCACCTAACATCTGTGACTTAGCCTTCTATAAAATAGGGACATTAATGTCTGTGTTTTTGTTTTGGGGAGTTTTCTTTGTTTGTTTTTACTTTACATGCCTATTGTGAAAATTAAATGAGATGATGTACGTGTACTAGGCAGTGTTAATTTTAACATCTCAGGTAAAGTTGCAACTTTGGAGACTCTTCATGTAAAATATAAATAGTAATCCATCTGTGTTCGTAACAAAGTTTTACAAGAATAGGAGTTCAGCTCTCGTGTCAGGCTGCCTGAATAACCTTGGTCATGTTACTTCTTTCTGAAATCTCGTTGAAGAGGAGATAACACCCATCTCATAGGTGTGGTCATGAGCATTAAATGAGCGAACGTACACACAGTACTTAACATGTACCTGGCATAGAGAAACTCAGTGAGTGTTAGCTGCTACCATCACTGATTTTATTAATGGAGAGGTGGGGCAGGGTAGCCCAATAAGATCTGATAGAGATCTGAGCTAGAGATCAAAAGACCTCACCTTCTTGGCCTCGGTTTTCCTACTTGCTCTATAATAAAAATCTATGGTTTTCTTCTTCCAGATTGTCATGAAAATTAAAAAAAAAAAAGCATATGAAGACTTTGAACTAATTGGACTTGAGGAACATAAGTTGCAAGATATTTTTGGAAAAAAACTGAGTTAACTTTATAAAGACTCTGACTTTTATCAGTTCATCAGTTTTTGTTCATCCCTATCTGCCTGTGTTAAAGTTGTTCTCTTCATGGAAAAGGAATACAGCATTTCCCAGCCAATAAAAAAGATTTCAAATGTCAGATCTTGACATAAACCCTTCAACTCTGCTAGAGTACATACACTCTTCACAAAGAAAACCATTCTTTAGGATGTTCCATTGCCTCAAATTTGTTCTGTGTATGTAGGGTGATTTTAATATTCAACCAATTCTTGAATTTCCACTTTGGGTATTATCTGCTTTCAATACGTAATCACAGAATGACCTCTCCTTGCCTTGCAGGATGCTCCCAGATTACCTCCTTTTCTCTGATTAGCTAGGATGGCTTCAGGGAATACCTTCATTTTAACATTAAAGTGGGCAAAAACAGAAATAGAAAGATAAATCTGTAGCAAGATCAAAAATAGAATTCATAGCTAAATATAAATCTGGAGGGAATTATCCAATTATTTGTATGGTCCCTTATCGCAGACGATCCAGGGTTGATTGCCTTCTGCTTTTTCCTTATGTGGAACAAAATGGTTAATAAATGCCAAGAGTAATTTTTTTTTCTTTTGAAGAGTAATAGTTTTTAATAGTAACTTAAATGCTGTTTTCTTTCCCAGATGTCCTCATATATATTATAGCATGTGATTTTTACTGCATGCATTCTCTTTGGGGACCATCTCATCTCATTTTGACTTGTAGGTCAGAGAGCTTTGAACTGGGAAGACCAGGATTTGTTAATGGAGTTACTGTACAAATTTGGGCAAGTTTCTCAGTCACTTTGTTCTTCCACTCTGCTGAGCTAGACTTGGAATGGACGGCTCTGAAGGGAAATTCCCTGCTCCTTTTCAGTCGCAATATAATTTACAGGCTAGCAGCTGGGTTGTTTTTTTGGTTTTTTTTTGGGGGGGGGGTTGGACCCACACCAGCTAGGGACTTGGAAACGTGGAGAAAGACAAATGTGGGTGTCACATGAGGCACGGTAGCCATTAAGTGCAGGAATATAATGCAAATCGCATGCAAATATATGCAAACTGCATTAATTTGTAGAATCTTTGGGGCTTGCGAGCAGCACTGAGATCGTATGAGGGTTCACAACTAATATTTTTAGGTTAAATCAAAAGTAGTGCTTTTTTGAAGTTCTCGCTTTCTCGGTGCTTGCCGGGCTCAACTGCTAAAAGTTTGACACTCCTCCCTACCCCCCCTAATGATTCCACTAGTGCTTGATTCCATCTTACACCCGGCCCCACCCCCGCTTAGCCTGACGTCACGTGACAGTGTATTTGCATACTACCTGGGACTGGGTGTGACGCTCCCCTTTTCTGCGTCTTCTCATTGGCGGCACCGGAGAACCGGCCCTCTTCCGGACAGACCAATCGGCGGCTCCTCGGACGGAGGCCAGCGGGAGGGGGCGGGATGAGGGTGGGGTCTTGGGTTGGATCGCTAGGCATATCGACCAGTCATCCTCTGGAGTGGGAAGAACAAGCCGCGGATTGGTTGAGGGGAGGGGTCTGGGGCTCTGTAGGCCAATGAGAGTTCTGGGCTGAGGGGGCCGGTCTCCGCCCCGTAGAGCAGATAAGCAGCCGCAGCGGGGGTTGGGGGGCTGTGTGGGGCTCGCTGTGGGGCCGAGGCAGGCAGGCGGTCGGGCGGGCGATGGCGGGGGCCGCAGCGGGCGGCAGAGGCGGAGGTCCCTGGGGGCCAGGGCGCGGAGGGGCCGGGGGGCTCCGGCGGGGCTGCTCTCCCCCAGCCCCCGCCGGCTCCCCCCGGGCTGGGCTGCAGCCGCTCAGGGCCACGGTCCCCTTCCAGCTGCAGCAGCCGCACCAGCGCCGGGACGGGGGTGGCCGCGCAGGTGAGCCGGGCCTGGAGCGGGTACCGGGGGGAGGAGCCGTTGGGGGAGGGGGGCGCGTGACGGGGGGAGGGGTACGGGGAGAAGCGTGAGGGGAAAGTGGATGGGGGCGAGGGGAGAGAAAGGGGGTCGCGCAAAGTCTGCGAGGGCGGAGGGAGCGAGAGCGAGGAGCGGTGAACGCTGGGTCCACCGCTGGGACAGAGTGTGCAGGGAGTCGGGGCCGGGAGGTGAGGAGAGGGACAGAGCAGACGGAGGCTGTCTTTGGGGGCGTAACCGAAAAGTGGGCAGAGGTGTCGTGTGGGGGTAAGTGGAAGATGCAGGGGTGGCAGCGAGGTGTGAGGAAGGAGTGAGTGGCGCGTGATGGGGGCGCCCTGCGCTGGCTGGCGCTGGAGCGAGGAGCCGGTGGGCGCTGGACGTCTGCACGGGGAGGGGGAGGGGCATGGAGGAGAGCCCCGTGGAGCCATGTGTTACTTCTCCAACTTGAGTTTGGTTCCAGCATCCCGCTCTACGGTTCTAGAGTTCCTTCCCCCCCCCACTTCACGTGCACTTCCCTTTATGCCACCTCCCGGAGCTGATTTCATCCGAGCTGTTGGAATAGGTTAGTTTAATGGCTTTTACTACGGTACAAACGCTCCGCTCCGATTCCTACATTCCTCTTGGTGTGACCCAGAAGTTGTATGTTCCCAGATCATTGACCTGCTTAATATGGCTGTCTCATTCCAACTATCGTGTGGGTGTGTGTATAGGGCCTGGGCAGTGTGCCCCCTGCCTTTCTCTCCTACCCCCACCAAGGCTGTTTAGTCTGGGGCATTGCCAGCCAACGTGGCAGTGGAGTGAGGGCTACACTCAAGGGCAAATACCCCCACTTTCTGAACAGCCCTGAAACGGTGTCTTAATAGCAGCTTGATGTGCTGGGTGTGGGGAAACTAGGGAGGAGCAAGATTAACCTTGCTTTCACACTCAAAGCTGTGATGGATCCCCCACAAAGGCAGGCAGTGAGGAATGGGAAAAGGAACCTACTTGCAGAGGAGGTTGGCAATAAGTTGAAAGTGAGGCTTGCATTTGATTCACACCAGATGTGAAAAAGATCATCGCACACTTCCAAAGCCTCAGAGTCTACCAAATGTACAGAAGTCATGGTCCCCACCGTCTAATGGTTAATGACATTCTCTACACCAGAGTTTCTTGAGCTTTTTGTGATTACTAGGCTTCATTGCGGCACACCCCCCTCTGAAAGTGTAGCTGCCACATTGCCTTTCTAGGTAGGAATGGGATTAAGGGTCTCTGAAGTAGAAAGTCCAAGTCTATCTGGACCTCATTGTAAATGTTAACATTGCATCTTGGAACACAGAAACGTAGTCAAGTCTGGTAGTAAGATGGTGACCAACTAGTCAAAGTATGCCTACCTGGTGTTGTAGAGCAGAGCAATGCCCAAACTCATGCCTATCATGAGCTATAAAAGCAAACCACAAGATTACAAACCTGTTGGTTTTGTTTGGACTTCCTTGGAGTCCAGGGAAGTTAGTAGAACAGCAAGCACCAGAACCTTAGTCACTTTTAGTAGAAATCAACAGAAAGCCTGCCTATGCTATAGCTGGAAATCTAATAGCAGTCATATTTTAAGAGCAGTTATTTTATGTCTACCATAGAACTAACATTAAAGGCACAAACACTGGTGGGTGCTGCGGAATGGAGAAGAGTGTAGGTTTGGATAACTGGGTTCTTTACATGGCCCCTCCCTTTTTGGAGGGCCAGGGGCCCAAAGATCCTGGTAAAAATCATAGGAAGCTAGAGTTCTGCATAACTTGTTGAATGATTTAGGGCAAGTTGAGTGGTCCTTTGTGTATGAATTGGGCTGATGGGTTATCCCTCCACCTTTTGGTATCCCAGAGGCATTAATGAGGCACTTAATCTGGTATATGGTGGGATTATCTATAGATTCTCAGTGAGGCAGAAGAGAGGAAAGATGGAAGGAAAGGGGTCTGAGCCTGTGGACTTCTTTGTGAGCAGACATTAAGGGGCTGTACCTGACCTTTGGTTTGGGAGTACATCGGGTCTTCTATGTGTTAACTTTTCTATGTGTGTTCAGATTGTTTCCATTCCTTGCACTTGAGAAGTGGCAGGAGTGGTTTCCTCTAGGCCAGTGGTGTACCTGCGATAGGAGGAAACGCCTTACATTCATAAACCCTTACGAGAATCCTCCTGGCTTTGGGTCCCAGGATTCCTGAATTTTGATTCCAGGCTCTGCCATTTACTAGCTGTGTGGCATGGAAGAAGTTTCTTAACTTCTGTGCCTCAGTTTCCTCATCTGTCAGAATGTGAATCATAACTATATCCTGAGTTAACAGTTATAAAATGCTGAGGCACCTAGAAGGTGCCAGCAGTGTTTGCCGCTGCTTCTGTCGTTACTCTGCCCTCCACCCAGCCATGGTGAGAGCACTGTTGGCCAAAACCCATTGCCTTTCAGGCTTCAAAGAGCAAACCCATGTTGGTCTGAAACCAGTACTGCAAGTTTCAGAATTTCAAGGCTGCCTCTTGCAGTTTTATTCCCTCATCATTTAAAATGAGCTTTTCTAAATAGGGCTCCAGAACCCAACTGTTTAAAAAGGCATGTGAGCTGGGACTGGGTTTCAGGGACAATTAGGTGCCATCACTGTTTCTTTCCCATCCCAGAGTGACGTAGTGCTCAGGGCTGTGCAGTTATCTCTGTCACACACCCTGTTGTATTCCTGACAAGATATATTAGACCTTGTAAAAACAGGGTGATGGTGTAAAGAACAGGATTTACCTTCTGTGGCCATTCATCCATGAGGGATGTCTTCATAAAGTGAGGAATGGCTTCATTTTTCTGAGCCTGGGCTAGGGGTGTAGAAGGCAAAAGAGAAGAGTGAGAAAAATGAAGGTCAAGTCTAAGAAAGCTAAGATCCACCCGTGGGGAATAGCAACCCAGGATACATTTCTTACAGCAGTTTCCCCTTTATTTAAATTCTCATTTGTGTCTTATGTCAGTTGGAGGCTGCTAACTTTATGTTCTTCCAGGACTACTGATGGACAAAACGGGACTGGGAGGTGAATTGTTCTGAGTTCCAGTCTTAACTATCCTGTTTAGTGTCTCTGTCTCCATATCTCTAGAATGAAGATAATGTTTAATCCAGCTTTGCAAATTCCTCTCGAGTGGACCAGCCCCACAGGGGTCAGCTGGGTGCTGGGGGAGCCACATGTTGCCTCTGTACCTCCTCTGCCCAGCAGAACCTTCTTAAACCCAGGGTTGGCAGTTATGGCCTGCAGGCCAAATCTAGGCCTCTGCCTGCTTTTGTAAATAAAGTTTTATTGGAACTCAGCCATGCTCCTTCATTTAGTATTGTCTGTGGCTGCTTTTTCACGACAGTGACAGAGTTGAGTAGTTGTGATAGAGACCGTAAGGCCCACAAAGCTTAAAATATTTACTACCATGGCACTTTACAGGAAAAGTTGGCCGACCCTTGTCTTAAACAGTGTTCCTTACCATTATTCCTATATAAAGGTCAGTTTCAATGCATGTGGTGTACATCTCCTCAGAAAATTCTAAGGGAGTAAAGAAAAGTGACAAGCCTGTATCCCCACTCATGTTTTAGGCGAAAAGAAAAGGGGGGGGTCATCAGCTTCCAGTCAGTTCTCAGTCTTTGTGGAGGATCAGCACATGTGAATGGAGGCTGCCTCCCCGCCCCCCTGCCCCCGCCCCCTGCGTTGTCAGGTGGCATGTGTTCAGTAGACATAAACTAATTTGGATTTACATAAAAGCTTGACTGTTAGGCAAATATGCACCCCCTGCCCTCATAACCCCTCCCAAAACACCCACAACTGCAGTGAACACATTTCAAATCAGTTGGAAATGGCTTTAGGTTTATCTCCTGTTTGGGATTTTTCTCGATCACTGACAGCTGGCAGTAGTTGGGGCTGCCTTAAAACACTGGCTTCCCCACAGGGACGTAGGATGGGTTTACTTCAGACGTCCATTCAGTTCTCCAGGATGGCGTTTCAGTGAATATAAGGCAGCATTGTTATTAGCCATGCTATTGGTAATTATTAAACTCCTTTCCTTGCAATGCTTTGAAAACTTAGTACTTGGGGGATGGGTGTTTAGATAGGTCTGGAACCACATTAAGGAGGTCCCTTATTTGGGATCTTGAGAAAAAGCCTTCATCAAATCATGGTCCTCCTGGACGCTGGTGTCAGAAGCAGTCCAGCTTCTCAATGCCAAGGAGCCATCTTGCTGTAATGAAGCCCGGGGATGCAGTTAAAATCCTTTAGTAGCTACAACCGTCCTTGAATGCTCTGTGATTGAGGCACCCTCTGTTTGGGAAGCATTAAACACTGCTTAGCCTGATGCTGCTAACTTGCTTTTGACAGCTTTGCTTGCCCCAGGCACGTGGTCCCCAAAATGTACTCTTAAATGTTATCACCAGTGACAGCATCCTTGAAATTTGGGGGCCACAGTGCCTAACTGCTTTATCCTGTCGGTCCCTAAAGGAGCATGGGTCCATGTGTTCTTCCCTGTTTGGGATAGCAAAGGATTATATATATGGGAAGTTCTCCACTCATGTAACATAGAGCTAGGATATTTTAAACCATTTGAGGTCAGTGGAGGAGGGGTGAGAACAAAAGTGGGTGTGGTGGTAAGAGGACATCATTCTCTCTGGTTCCAAATATAGATGGATCTCCAGAAAATTTGGGGCAGGATTGCAAAACTTCCAGTTCTGGTGGCCATGTGAGTGTTGCCAAAGTGGTTGGTGGCGTTAATAGCAGAGAACACTTTACCCATATTTTTGGCTAGTTTATACTGAATGGTGTGATGGGCACCCACACCACACTATTCTTTGATCTTGTTCTTTTTTTAATTAAAGCATAATTAATATACGGTGTTATATTAGTTTCAGTTGTACAACATAAGGATTCAACAATTCTGTACGTTACTCAGTGTATTCCTTGATCTTCATGGAACTGTTAGAAATCAAGTGTCCTCG